CTCACACAAGAGATGAATCTTGGTGGGGTTGAGGAAAATAGGGGAAAGTTCTGAAGAAGACAGACAGCAAGGTCTAAGTGTGATGTATGACTCTGCCATGCTGACTCAATATTGGGAGTAAACAGAAGGGCAATGTTGAGGTGAGGAAGGATCCTAGAGGAAGCAGATGGACACTTGGCTGTCAGGATATAGCACAAAAGCAGTATTTTTGTGGGTTGCATCTGATAATGAAACTTTATCCTTGATTTCAGCAGTTTTTGACACCATCAACTATATTTTTCTTTTGGACTATCTTTGAGGAGAGGTGGGGGGACCACTGATTGGCAGTAATTCTTGTTCCTGAAAGGTCCATTCTAGATGACGGTGTTAGGAGGAATCTATAATCTTGACCACCTTCCAACCTTTAAACATGTCTGCATTTAAGTTGTTAAGAGGAAAAGAAAGCATCGGAAGCAAGAGGGATCTTGAGTATATCCAGGAGCAGCAGCTTAATTTACACTGAAAAAATCTTCTTCTTATTCCTTTGGAAACAGACTTTCCTGACCATCTGATATCTCCAAATAGGGCTGGAATTTCCTTCTTTGAAATTGAGATGCCAGTGGAGAGTAGGATTGTTGTTTTGTTTTTGCTTTGTTGTTTGTTTTTTGAAGCAAAAAAAATGAGTTGACATGTTCAGGTCTGCTCATGAGCTATCAGTCAGTAAATTCTTGAAACTGCATTTTTTCCTGGAGTTGCACAAGATCCAGGCACATATGGTTTAAGGTGATGGTGATAAATGTGACATCAGTCGTCTACACCTTCCAAATCACCTTTCTGTATATTCTGTATATTTCTTTGAATATACATTGATCCACAATTCTAAATACTGTACTGTGAGTAATACTGTGAGGCAAATATTTAATTTGGTTAGGAGGCAATTTAGTTGCTATGTTTCTGTTCCTAACATCTGGTACTGGGAGGAAATACAATAAGACTAGTGCTTAAGGCATTTTTAACCAGAACATGGTTAGAATTGTCTTTAATTTTATCTATTTGAGAGAATTTCAATTTGTTGAATTGAAAATAATGATCAGAGACAAAGTTCAGTACAGAGCCATGAAAGGAAACTGTAACTAAAAATATGCTGAGTTTGTCTCAACATATTCACTGATTGGTAACCAATATTCGAATAAGATCAGATATCCTTTCACTCAAAACTCTACTGCTGGATTTCTACAAATACTGGCTTTTTAAAGAGGAGATTTTGGTGTCCAAAATCCTTGGTGAACTGCTACAAATCATCCTACATCTTATTTCCAAAGCCAGGATTTCTTTAATGATATGAGTGATATTACAATGAACATGACAGCAGTACTAATTCTTATATCAAAATTTTGGCCTCTGTAAGAATGGCCATTTGGCATGCAGTTGCTACAGACAATATAACTGTGATTACATAAGAGAGATAAAATGCAGTACAATCATTTGTGATGGCTATAATTTATATGTTATTGGAGAAGTAGTGTTTCAGAGAATAACAGAAATATTATGCTGTTAAGATAGAAAAACTATCAGGTTTTCCTGGACTACAAAAATGTCATTTCAGATGTGAAAAAAAACTTGAACCACATATAGGTTAACAGAACTATAATGCACCAATACATTAATCATTAACATTTTTTAAAAACCTAATGTCTGGACTGCAAAAATAAAGATGTCGTATGAAGTTTCATATGCTGGTTCAGAGGATAAAGAAGTTAATTACATTCAGCTGCCTTGGACAATACCTCCCATGAACCCTTGGAGTTGGCTATGAGTTGCAATCTGGAGAACACCAGATCGCAAGTGATAACAAAAAGAGAGAAGGAATCAGTTTTCAGAAAATCACACTCCAGAACCTATTTACCAGAAATTATTTCAGGACTTAGAAATGGTGCATGTGTTCTAAGGGAAGCAATATTTCCTTAAAACCTGGGGAACATTCAGCCTCAACTGAACTTTTAATACTGATGACAGAAAAAAGAAATTGCAGACAATGCCCATGTTAAATGTAAAGTCAAGGACTGCTCCAATGAGGCGGCTATGGGTAAAAGTCTTACATATTGAAGCTTCTGTCCATGAATACAGTATATCCATTGAAAGAGCTATACTCTTGGATAACAACCAACCAGTCCTATCAAAAGGATATGGATGATTTAATAATGCAACACATTAGCTTATGCTTAGTTAAAATCACATTAGCTTAGCCACATGTTCAGTGACTTTGTGACAAATATACATCAGCTCAGCTCAGCCTCATCACTTTGTTGATCCAGTCAACATACATGGAGATTCGGATGAAAGTGGCAGGCACGTCTTTCCGGGCACATATCCGCAATGGGGTGATCACACCTTGTAGCACCCAGCAATCTTGAGTCAGGCAGGCCAAAGGACCTCCAAAATCACCCTGCAGACAAAAGACCAACTTGAGTCAAAAGCAAGCTCGAGCTTAAGGAGCACAGCAACACTTGACATGGGTTGATTTTCTACCTCAGACTTTTGTTCAAACGGCTTCCCTGACCTACTTGCCTTGACATAATTTATCTGCAGCTTCAGTTTTCAGTTTATCTTTTGGGGGACTCTTTCCCACTGCTCGTCTTTTTTTAAAAAAAACCAAGAGGTTGGCAACTTTTTAGGGGACATCATGCAATCTCATAAGTGCCCATGCCCATCTCCATTGTTTTTAGATCAATCTCACAAAATTGCCTAGCCTGAGATGTTTTGCAAGGATATTGTAAGATTAGGTGGTTTAGGAGATTAGCCATTTTTCAAAAATAAAAGTATTTAATCATATTGTGGGCCTCTTAGGCTGGGGTTATTGCAGGTACCATGTTTTTGGCCTTTTTGTAAGGCTTGTCCCTTTTCTTTGCTATTCATTTTCCAGACGTTGGCCTCTCATTTATATATTTACTTCTCTCAACCGGTCACTTGATGGAGTTTTCCTGTCATCAACCTTGATCTCGTTGCAAGCCAAGCAATTCAATTCAATACAAATCCACCTCCCTGTCCTGCTCACCTCACAGGCTCCCACGCCAACCTTCAGTGCTGATGTACATAACTCATTGTCCTTCAGACGGCCTTGAAGGGCCACGTTGCAATTTTGATTGTTCATGACTGGCAGCCTGGCCACATTGAGGACATTGTCATTCCCAGTTCCTGTGTGCAAAGAAGAACCAGAGCACTAGATAACGTGTGAGTTATGGACCTTTATGATGGTGAGACTCTCTTTATGGTGTGCTGCTCTGAGATTATTGCTTTTAGGTAATTTATTTGTGGTTAGTATTTTATGTGCTGGCATCTTTAATAAGTTTGAGTTTTTATCATAGAATCAGTATGTATGTGCTAGAGCAGGAGTAGGCAACCTTGGCTCTTTTATGACTCATGGACTTCAACTCCCAGAATTCCTGAGCCAGCCATGCTGAGGGGAAAGGGAGAGGTTTCCAAGCTGAGCCATGCTGGCTCAGGAATTCTGGGAGTTGAAGTCCATGAGTCATAAAAGAGCCAAGGTTGCCAACCCCTTTGCTAGAGTATATATTTTTTATTCCCATATCTACTTGCTGTATTGAAAATATTTGTGCTGCAGATTATTATAATATTGTATATTTCTCATCTCATGTAACAAACTGCCAAGTGAACAATATTATTGGCCAGGCATATATAAACACTAATAAATAATCAATTCAGTGTTATTACCCACATCAGGCAAACCATCCCAACAATATGATAGCCTTTCAAAATGCTAAATATCAAGATAGTTAATAGTCAGGATACGCCAATATCCCTTTAAAAATCTGTATTATTTAAATGAAAATGAAAAAACAATGCCAGTAAGCAATTATCGAACTCTGTAGTGCCATGATCCACTCAAATTTCAAATAGGGCAAATTGATAATATTCCAACGGGATATTTTTCATCACCTTAGTAATATGAGTTCAGGAACCTGTTCTAAATAAAGTTTCATTGAAATGCGTGCATCATACAATAGTTTAGAAAATCTTCCATATAGGGAATATCCTTAACTGGAAGGATATCTGGTTAATAAAATATTGGAAATTTTAGTCTTGATTAGTTTTCTGAGAGATTCTCGATATGGAAGATATTCTTATTTATGTCTTCACTTTTCTAATAACTTCATATCCCTTTGGAATTTGCATAGCGGCAGTAGAGAATTTAGAGAGGGCTTTTGTGCTTCCTTATTTAAAAAAAAACAAAGAATTAACATAACTCAATCATGTTGTATATGAAGATGCTTTTGGTTTAAAGTAGACAAATTTCATAACTGATTAAACACTGCTCCAATTAACAGGTATCAGTTACTATCCCTAAACTCATTGGTCACATTTCTGCTTAGAATTGGGTCAGTGGAGTAAATTTTGTATTCAGAGTTCCATTAACCTAAATAAGCAATTCCTAAAAAGGAATTGATAGCTCAGTTTTTCAATTTGTACTCTGTCTGGACAAGCTGACTATCTACACAATGTGGAGTACAATCCTGTCAGGGCTGTGACTTTGTTTGCACATGCAAACTTCAATTCCTGCCAATCATGCTCCAGGTTTTCTCTCTCACTGAACAACAAATAAAAATGTGAGGAGGAATATTACCTAATCTAGCGGTCCTCAACCTTTCTGGGGAGGCGCCTTTAGGAGCACATGCACACACGCAAACAGGACCACAAGCGCGCATGATATTCATGGCGACGGTACCTCCCGCACAACACTTGTGGTGACGCTAAGGCCTGTGCAACGCTTGTAGTGCATTGGCCAGCCACTCACACAGCCCAGTGGCCAAGAGGCCACTGGCTGCTAGTGGGCTGCGGCCCACAGGTTGGGGACCCCTCACCTAGCCAGTTCCTGACAACTAATGGTTAAATTGTCGTACACTTTACATCCAAGGAAAAATCCACATTTTTACTTCCTTGTCCCAGCAAGATAGAATTCCTGAATAAGAGGTTGGACCAATTGGACTCGATATCCCCTGAAACCAATCCTTTTTCCAGATTGTACCTCCAGTGCTACCCCATCCTGCAATCTCACACTCGGTGTCCTCAGGCACAATGTAACGCTCAGGTGGAAGGCAGATCAATGCCACACGTTGATTCAGAAGTGCAGGCCTGTGGTGAGAAAGAGCAGGGAAAAAGCAACAAATTCACACCTCTGTTCTGTACCCAGAAGCCACCTCAAAGTGCTGACGTATTTCAAGCACACCCAAGCTTGGCTGGTTGTCGGCTGATGCCGGCATCACATCCATTATTTATTATTATTATTTATTAAATTTATATCCCGCCCTTCTCCTTGCGGACTCAGGGCAGCTGACAATCGATTAAAAATACACAAATAACAATTACAGAATTAAAATTAATTAAGAAGAAATATTTAAATATAGTCTAATTAAAATATGATTAAAACCCCTCTAAAAATTGCCCTAGGCCAGTCCCGCTTGTTGGAATAGCCATGTCTTAAGGGCGCGGCGGAAGGAAGGGAGATCAGGGATCACCCTGATCTCTGGG